AAATTTATCATACGACGTATATTAGGCTGACCTAAATATTATCTTTGAGTCTTTGCTAATAAAGTAATAAAAAAAGGTCTAAAAGTAGTGTCACTCGTAATATTGTTGCTTACGATACCGTAAATCACAAGTGACTTTTCCAAACATATACGACATCAAATTAGCCAATAACCTCATTTGTATTGTGCACGTCTTCCTGCGGAACAAAAGTTTGTTCGTATCTCTCAATGGTAGTCATAGTGGATATAAAACACAGAAGAGTAGTCTAACTTGTGACATCGTAATGGTACCTACACTGTTAACTGTATATCATTTCCACAACGTCAATCAATTAATAACCAGTCATCATCATCATACTGAAGCCCCTGAAGCCAACCCAAGAATAATACTCTGCATACTGAAGCTTAATAAAAAAACCAGCCTTAAAATAATTCAAGCCTATGCACCTACATCTACACACTCGGACGAGGAAGTGGAAACCTTTTATGAAGACCTAGAAAATGCTGTAAAACTAGCACCTACTACACACAACCTAGTAATGGGTAACTTTAATGCTAAGTTGGGATGTAAACTAGACGGGACCGAAGTAGCAATAGGTCCCTATGGATTCGGACAAAGAAATGAAAGAGGCGAAATGTTTTTAGGTTTCTTGGTACGAAATGGCCTCTTTGCAATGAATAGTTTTTTCAAAAAAAGTCCCCAAAGAAAATGGACCTGGGCAAGTCCAGATGGAGTCACCAAAAATGAAATTGATTTTGTCTTAACCAACAACAAAGACATGATCCATGATGTAACAGTTCTTAATAGCTGTTCAGTGGGAAGTGATCATAGAATGGTAAGAGCGAAGATCGTGCTAAATCTCCAAAAACAAAGATACAAAATGATAACAAAAACACACCCAATAGAATGGAATCCAATCGAAAACACCATGTCCTTCGAAGAGGAAATTCTGAGATGCCTAGAGACAACAAATATAGACGTTATGGATATCGAAACCTTAAATGATAACTTAATAAAAGCTATTAAGAACGCAGAGAAAAAGTGCAATACAAATTCTAGGAGAGATAAGGAGGAAAAGCTCAGTCAAGAAACAAAAAGACTTATGGAGGCACGAAGAGAACTTAAGAACAAAAACGATACAAATGCACGCGTACTACAACAACTTAATAAAGATATTAATAAAGCAGTGAGAAAGGACGTATGACAATATAACACAAAAAAGATTACAACGGTTGTCGAGAAAAATAAAAGTTTAAAGGTGCTGAAGAGATGTCAAGCTCTAGATAAGAAGAACATTGTTAAGCTCGCAGATCGAAATGAAAAATTGGTAACAGATAAAGATAAGATAATTAAGGTAGTTGAAGAATTTTACACAGAATTATATAGATAAAGGGGGAAGAAAGACGGCACCAAGTTAAGAAAAGTCCAGAATGTGGGTTCAGAGGATATCCCAGAAATAACAATCGAAGAAGTCTTAAAGTCATTAAATAGAGTGAAAAACAATAAAGCAGCTGGTGATGATCAAATCGTTATTGAGGCAGTTAAAGCAGGAGGAAAGACAGTATTGAAAGCATTGACGCAATTATATAACTTATGCCTTTCAAACGAGGTTACACCATCTCAGTGGAATAAAGCTGTTATAGTAGTCATGCACAAAAAGGGAGATATAACAGAGCTAAAGAACTATAGACCTATTAGCTTGTTATCTCACGTTTATAAGTTGTTTATGAAGATAATAACTAATAGGTTGATATCAAAACTAGACTTCTATCAACCTTGCGAGCAAGCAGGATTTAGAGCTGGATACGGAACAAATGATCATTTGCAAACCATTAAGTCGTTGATTGAAAAAACCATTGAATATAATAGACCCCTGATACTTGTCTTTGTCGACTTTGAAAAAGCATTTGATACGGTCAATCAAAGTGAAATGCTCCAAGCTCTAATACAATGAAAAATAGATCACCGATACATATCTCTCATCAGATACATCTATCAACATGCTACAGCCTGTGTAAGACTTAATGAAGATACTGGGACTTTTCGTATTGAAAGAGGCGTTCGGCAAGGAGACAACATGTCTTCTAAATTATTTACAACTTTGCTAGAATACGCTTGTAAAACAATAGATTGGAACGAAAAGGGCATCAATGTAAATGGAAAATTTTTAAATAACCTTAAATTTGCAGATGATATCGTTCTTATTGCAGACAGCTTTGATCAGGCACAGATAATGCTCCAAGAACTCCATACTGCCACTAAAAGAGTTGGTCTTAAAATAAATTTTTCAAAAACACAATTTATAACATATTTAGTCCACAACAAAAACATCTCAGTAGAAGATAAAGATATTGAGCCAGTTGACTCCTATAAATACTTAGGCCATGAGATCAGAATAAGTCGAAACAACCAAACAATCGAGCTGAAAAGAAGAATAAACCTCGCTTGGGCTGCATTTGGAAGGATTATTCTTAGGTCTAAGATTCCAATGTGTCTGAAAAGAAAAGTATTTAAGCAATGTATTTTGCCAGTGATGACCTACCGCGCAGAAACCCTAACGCTCACAAGAACAACAGTGAGTAAACTAGCGGAGTTTACAAAACAAGTTGCGGAAAGAGCAATGGAGAGAATTATGTTAGGGATTTCTCTACGTGATAGAATACCCAATGCTACTATACGCAAAAGATCAGGAGTAGCAGACGTTATTGAAAGGATAACAACACTAAAGTGGAACTGGGCAGGTCATGTAGCAAGATCAGTTGATGACCAGTGGACAAAAAGAATTTTGGAATGGAGACCTCGAATACAAGCTTACAGAAATAGAGGTCGACCCCCAACGAGATGGACAGATGACATAAAAAGAGTGACTACAAATTGGATTCAGATGGCGCAAAATCGGACTAAGTGGAAAAAGCATGCGAGAGGCCTATGTTCAGCAGTGGACGTTAGAGGCTAGTTGATGATCATCATCATGATCATCATCATTAAACCTGAATCTATCCACTGCTGGATATAGGTCTCCCTCAGTCTTTTCCATGTATTTCTGTTTTGTGCTGTTTGCATCCAATTTTGTCGATCCGTTTTATGTCATCAGACCATCTTGTTGGTGGACGACCTCTACTTCGATGTGCTTCTTGTCTTGGTCTTCACTGTATTATTCGCTGTGTCCATCTGTTGTCCGACATTCTAGCTATGTGCCCCGCCCAGTTCCACTTAAGGGTCATAATTTTTTCTATGGCATCTGTCACTCCTGTTCTCCGTCTTATTTCCTTGTTCGTGATATGATCCCTTCGAGAAATGCCTAACATCGATCGTTCCATGGCTCTTTGGGTAACACAAATTTTATTTCTTACTTTCTTGGTTAGTGTTAATGTCTCTGCACCATATGTAAGTACTGGCAACACGCACTGATTAAAGACTTCTCTTTTAAGACACATAGGCAGTTCTGATTTAAGAACATAGCTCAGCTTGCCGGATGCCACCCAAGTGAGTCCTATGCGGCGGCTTAGTTCGCATGTTTGATTATCTCTTCCTATGCGTATCTCATGTCCTAAGTACTTATAAGAGGTGGTTTCTTCAATATGCATGCCATTTACTGAAATCTTTTCGCTTAACACAAGATTTGTCATGATTTGTGTTTTTGTGTGGTTGATTTTTAATCCAACTTGTAGGAAGGCTAGGTATAGTTTCTCCAGTTGCGATACTGCATCATCGATTCTGTCAGCAAAAAGGACAATATCGTCAGCAAACCTCAAATGACTAAGCATTTCTCCATTGACATTAATTCTTTTTTCACTCAGATTTGCGTTCTTAATGACCAGTACAACCCAGTAAATACTAAAACCTACATATATATATATATATATATATATATATATATATACTATATATATATATATATATATATATATATATATATATACAGTCGATAAGGCTATTATTGCATAAGCAAATACTTTTGCCGAAATGGAGACACTAACCGAAATCTTAAACACAATAACAACATACTATAAATTAAACTATCTTATGCAAAATCCCGGAAATACTCTGGTGCGCTCATTTAAATTCTGCACTAAAGGCGCTTTCAGAAAACTGAACACTGAATAATGTAATACAACCCTTAAACATTGTACCTCTTCTAAATATCCGAAAGTTGCTTTGGATCGCAAGTTGTCATTCAAAGAATATTGTGTGAAATTAAAATGACACAAACTAAATTTTTACAATAATCTCTTCTTTTAGAAAGTATTTGCGTATTACTTGCTTTATTAAATCAATGAAAATTATCTGTATTAGTGGTAATTTAAATTAAATTCACCATACTAAATATAATTTTCATACACAAGAAAAAGAAACTTATAATCTCATTAAACTCTTATATATACATATTTTTCTCTCTCGTCTTTTTACTCGTTCCAAGGGGTGCTAGGTTTTATTCTCTTTATCATTCATCTCTGTCTGGTGTATTATTATTCTCTAATTATACTGTATTTAACTATAATAAACTCCTATTAAAAATGGAGAAATTGCAGAATACTTTTATGCGATGCACGTTTCACAAACGAATATCACCTGAATTGCGAACGTTCTTCGTTTTACTGAACAAGGCCTCTCTAATTGTAGAATCAGAGAATGTATTGCTCAGCTTAGGGCAGCTTAAAAATCATATTTGGATGTTTTGGAAAACCTGGCTGACGACGAAAATATTCTGGAAAGTGAAGAAGTAGATATTACTTATGAAAAATATATGGATGTTTTATGTTTCCTAGAAGAAAAACTGGAAGCTAAACAGGCTTTTAAATTTGATACAAAATTTAAGGCGAACACTTCCAGTTACATTGTTAAAAGTACTGTTTTGAATATAAATGGCCAAAACACGTAAAAATACATTTTACTCTGACTCCCTCCAAAATCAATTAACTCTGACTCCCTCCAAAATCAATTCAAACAGATGAAAGAAATAACTATAAGTACTTCGTTTAGTTCTGCAATTGTTTAAGCTCAGACTCAAGAGCTTCAAAAGCCGACTGATGAAATCACTTCTAATAACATAAGTACTCAAGATGTAATAGGCCACCCTCCCTTAAAAAATGTGTTACCGGCACAAACAGTCACTTTTCAAACTACTACAGAACAAAATGCGATTACTGAAACTGCAATATCTGCACTGCCTGTACTTCTTAACATTTCTTCCCCACAAATATTGCAAGAATCCAATACTTTAGTTTCAAGTCAAGATCTACATACACAAGATGTTTTAGTTTCTGCTCCGATTCTGACAACTGTCAATTTGTCTCCATTAGTTACTGAAAACTTAACTTCAGTACCGCCTTCTTGCGATGTGTCAAATGGTTTGGCTAACATGTCTTCCCCGTATACAAATTCAAGATATCTCTTAACCTGAAACTTTAAATACTCTAAATATACCTACGACAGGTTAATATATTCTCTATTCAAGCTCAAAATATATTCACTCCCACTTGCTTACATTTGAATAAAATTCCAACACAAAAATCTATTAACTTATTATCAATTGTAACACCTTGTGAAGAAGGTAATGTCCATGCCAATTTTTTAAAAACCATCTCTTCTCCGAATAAGTCCATACCTCCTCCACTAATACACGAAAATCAAATACTCCTCTCACAGTCTCGTACTAACACGGCTGCCATCAAAGTTCTCTCAAGACAAACGGTTCTTACTCATACCAGCCTACAATTTAATTCATTAGATTCAGTCGAATCTGCCTTTTCTTCTGTTACCGTAGCCCTGTCATTCGTAAAGGGCCAAATAACAACAGCCCCTGCAGTTTCCAACAATATTCTGTTACTGGAGGCTCAGTATGTCTTTCCGCCTCCTGATAAGGTGAACGTCAATCTAACGTGCCCTTCTTCGTTGTTTACTGTCCCTCAGGTTCAAACTTTTGCTAATCAAACGACACACTTAGTGGCCTCTAATACTTTAAAAAGTTCTGCAAATATCGATAATGTCTTGACCAGTGCCAATAACTTGGAAAGGTTACTCATGCTTTATTCTTAACTATACTCGCTTCTGAGCACTCACGGTTTCCAACTCTATAAAAATATATTCAAATTCTCGTGCCTTTTCAAATGAATGTAATATGGTCTCAACCCCAAAAGTTAATCTTGACTTTTATTTTTTTTCTTGGCTTGAATTAACAAGTCACCTTATCAAGACGATTTCTCTTGTAAGTTGCCTTAATATAATATAAGTTTGCAAACAGGCGCCTCCCTTAACAAAAAGAAAAATTGGAGGTATGTTTCTAATGTATAACTCCTTAGGAAAACTCTTATCTTTTAGAGTACACTCTAAATCTTTCTTACCCTTAGCGTCGCTGGTCCTTACCCTTAGACTGGAACAGTGAAATACTGGATGACCTATTGATCTCAGATTGGAAATCATTATTGGACAGATTCCAATCAATATATAAAATTCCATATCCTAAATACCTGACGCTTCCACTGCTTGTATCGGATATGCTACTACGACAAAGTAGGATTAACTTATTAAACTGTTTATTCGGGCTGTTGGGCCGTTGTCTTCTGTTGAGATTAGTTCTCGACGTTTCGCCAACACTAGGGGTTGGCATCTTCTGGAGATGTTGATGCTTCGCTTGTAAGCAGAAACTGACGACCAACTGACCAACTGACGTCGTCAGTTTCTGCTTACAAGCGAAGCATCAACATCTCCAGAAGATGCCAACCCCTAGTGTTGGCGAAACGTCGAGAACTAATCTCAACAGAAGACAACGGCCCAACAGCCCGAATAAACAGTTTAATAAGTTAGACGATGGCCGTGAAAGCCTAACGCAATTTATCAAAGTAGGATTAAGTGGAACATTGCTACTGATCTTCTAAAGAAAGGTGATGTGGTAGTAATCACACACTGTTTTTTTGGTAGATGCTAACAAAGTGGGGCCGGCCAGTAGGCGCAGCGCCGGAGGACTAGTCCGGGCGTACGTTTATCCATAATTCAGGGATGCTAAACCGTTTTAGTTATGATGGAGAATAGGTTAAAGTTAAAAGATAAGGACATAACATCATATACAGTGATAGACAAAGAAATTATAAAGCAATTAGAGTAGCTAATACTAATGAATAACAGAACAATGTAAGGAAATACAGCTATTGTAACACAAAACAATTCGTCAGAAAGTTACAGAAGCTGCAGGCTTACACAAGATACTTGAAGAGATATGTGGTAATAAGATAATTATCAGAGCTATTCTGACATAGTAAGTATTCGGTATTATATTTAGTCTTAAACTTATACGTTAAAAACGATTGCACGTCACGGAAAATACTTCCACGAAAACGGCATTTGGTGAAATTTGTAGCTGAAGTAGTGAAGTTTATAAAAACATACTTGTGTTATCGGACAAAAGCAGTTTTAAATGTTGTAAATGGTAAAATTATCTCCTGAAGTTATCGTGAAGTTATCATCTAACTACTTTGGCAAAAATCTGAATGAAATGTTTCACATCCACCTCAAAACAGATCCGCCTTGGTCTATATGTATGTTATTATAAAAAAGAAGTGATACATTCTCGATATGTTATTAAATTACTAATGTTGGTATTTTCATGTTAGTGAATTTGAAACATATTTTTATATACCGTTTACATGTCATAATATTTTGATGAGGTATTTTTTAATTCTAAATGCATATCTTAATATATTTCATCAAAAACAATTATGACATTCCATGTCATAATTGATTGAAGTTGATGAAATATAAAATAATTTCTTTGTTAATCTAAAAAATCCTATTTTATTGTTGTACCAAGATGTTAGGAGGGCAGATCTTTAAATAATACGTATTCAGCGTAAGCAGATTGGCTTTCATTTCTGACCAATGTCAATGTGCTTACGCCGATGACCAAGAGACACACCTTTAAATCACGCGCTTGGTTCTTGTTACGTTTAATTACGTTACTTTCATTCAATGTTGGCACAACATAAATTTTCTAAAGGAAAATGAAGAATTTTGTTACTAGTGTAAATAAAACTAACTCAAGAAACCTGAATCAACAACAACAATTCTAAACCAAATAACAAAAATTAAATGGCCCTTTGCAGGAAATAATGCAAAGCCCAACTATAACCGACGAACTTATATCAGAAGATCAATATTCTGAACAGAACCAAAATGGGCTAAGATTAAGTAACAATTTTAGGAAACGCAAACAAATATATTTCCAAGAAAGGAAAGAAAATTACACTAGTTAAAATATTTTAATTAAATAAATAACCCAACAGTTATACACGCTGTTTTTACAATTATGTACGTCTTTAACATCTGGTGATTCGGTTGTTTTCAACAATCCGCCATATAAATTTTAATGATTGACATCAAATTTGATCGATGTTTAAAATTTATGTGTTTATCTAGTATACTAATTGCAGATTTGTGCATGGTTGTTGTTTCTTAATTGAAATGAATTGCGTTGCTTAATATAACGGTTCAAAGGAATAGTTAGTAAAATGTTACATTACAAGATAATTAATACTAAATCAAGTATAGTCAAAACAAGTATTTAAAACACAATAAAAGTCGATACGTGTTTAATTTTAAATTAGAATAGCTGCCAAAATGGTATTTTTGGAAAGCAGATATACAATCATATATTACCATTCAGTATTTTGAATAAGTGGCGCTGTTATATTAAACTGATTATTGTTTTGCTATTTATAGCCCTAAATATTTAATGTTAAATGATGATTGATTTTATACACAGTCGGAAGTTAAAGAAGTGTATAAATTTACTACATATTTAAGTCAGAAGTAGTTAATGATGTTGACACAAAAATAAACCACATAGAAAATATTGGAGAAGGAAATATTAAACCAATACCTGCGACCGAAAAAGACAGAAAAGAGAAAACCATGGATGACCGACAGTATATAACAGATGATGGACAGAAGAAGAGAATCCAAGCGGAAAAACTACGTTGCATATCAATTTCTAGACAAAGAGATATAAAAAAGTGTACGAGAAGCTAAAAATAAATATGTGGAAGAACAGTGTGAAGTAATCGAGATATTGGAACGTAAAGACGATTCCTTCAACCTCCACAAAAAGATCAATGAAGCAGCAGGCATCTATAAATCAAAAAGGCCTGGACACTTTAAAGACGCTCAAGGAAATGCAATAATTGATATTAAAGAAACAAAAACAACATGGATGAACTATGTGACAACAACATTTGAAGACGATAGGAATGTCACCATCACACAAAATAAAAATGACGATACCGGACCACCTATTCTCGAAGCGGAAGTAGAAGCTGCTATAAACAACATTAGGGAGGGAAAAGCTGCAGGACAAGACGAGTTCTACTCAGAATTTTTGAAAATTATGGATAAAGACGAAGTAAAAAGATTTACCTTGGCTTTAACAATATACCAAAGTGGAAAAATACCCCAACAGTGGCTAAGATCAACTTTTATAACAATCCCTAAAAAATTCAATGCCAAAAAATGTAAAGATTATATCTAGCCATCTCCTGAATACTTTTTTAAAAATTATACATAAAAGAATATATATATATATATATATATATATATATATATATATGGCTTTTTATATATATATATATATATATATATATATATATAAAGTGTGAAGAACATATGAAAAACACACAATTCGGCTTCAGGGACGCATTGGATACTCGAGGGCACTTTTTGCAATACAAGTTCTCTTTCAAAGATGTAGAGATTATGATGTAGTGCCCGTTTGTTCTTTGTACTACACATTTTGCATAAAGCAAAACTTGAAGGTTTCACAACAGTGGCACGTAACATAATGGCATAAAGATGTTGGTTTTATCGAATCCTAAAGATATCCTATACCAACCACGTTACTAATCAGGACGTTTTATTAAAAATGCTAAAAGTAAAAGACTTGTTAACCGCAATAAAAAGAGACAAAATCAAATACCTTTGTCACATCTAATGTTTCCCAAAATCGGTCTTGATCTTGCAGTCTTGGTCTTGTTCTTGTGTTTTTGCAAGACCAAGACCAAGACCAAGACCTCCTAATTTTAGCAAGACCAAGACCAAGACTGACCGTGCAAAATTTAAACAAGAACAAGACTAAGCCTGCGAGACTCTTGCGTCTTGCAGTTAGGACTGAGTGTCGTTTGAGCGAGTTATAGTAGTTCGGGTATATGCTTAAAGATTCTATGAGATGCAAAAAAATATGTAATAAAAATTTGAAAAACTAGACTTTCGCGCATTACGACAACAATACCATAAAAATACATACCGAATCAAAATATTTATTAAAAAAATACATTTGACACGTGCTCAGAGGTCATAATTACAATGTAAAAATAAAATATTCTTTTCCTGCAGACGACGTCTTCGCTCTGAAATTAA